ACACCCACACCACACCCACAGGGGGGGGGGAGGACATTGGGTCACCCCACACACACCCACAGCAACACACCACACCCACACCACATCCACAGGGGGAGGGGGGGGACCATCGCGTGGGGGGGGGGGGCCGATGGCCTTAGCATTGGGGGGAGGGGGAACCCAAACCTTCGACCATATATCCCCACCCAGAGGGGTAAGTCGGCCAGTGGGGCCAAGGCCATGTCAGTGGGGGCAAGGCCTGCCATGCTCAGTACCAGTGCTCGAAGATGCTCTTCAGGAGCGGCCATTCGTCAGAGCCTCCCTGGTCGAGGATGAGCGCGCCATAGAGCGGGGCGCGTGTACCGCCGCACGCCCCGACGCCCGCGCCGCGCGCCCCACGCGCGGCCGAGGGCTGTGGCCGCCATCGCCAGCGCAGCGCGCCGACGGCTGCGGCAAGGCTGCTCCGCTGCCCGAAGGCGGGCGCGCCGCCACGACGGGCTTGACCGCGCCAGGCGAGAGCGCCCCGGCCGAGGAGGGGATTGGGAGGCGGCCTCCGCGGATGGCGGCAGGCCGTCCGCCGAGGTGAGCTGTGCATGGGGCCGCGACCGCCCAGGAGCCCCCGGCGTGCACTGGGAGCAACCTCTTGGCATCGCCCGGGCGTGTGCATTTTTTTCTCGGCGAGGAGCACGGAGGAGCATTTCGGGCCGCCCCGCGAAACGTGCGCGCACGGAGCCGGCAAGTGCACGGGGAATGGGCGTCCGAGCGATGGCGAGATTTGGGAGTCCGTGCATCTCCATCTTCACTCGTCGTGGACAGCATCACGACGGACGGTTTGGCGCATTTGTCGGCCTCCGAGGGCCCTCAGAGGGTCCCGGGCCGCCGGACAACGGCCTTGGATGAAAAACTGGTCCCAGAGAAGGTGTCCAGACTTCTGGGGGCCCACGTGAAAAAAACGACTTTGGCGTCCTGAGCAGATATTGCCGAATATAATGGAGGGCATAATCATCAGGGGTGGCTACATGGACCCCCCAAGCGCTCATTCATTGCAAATAGGGGCCCGGTGGCCCACTCCGTCCAGGAACTCGGGGCTTCGCTATCAAGGGCCTGTCGTTGATCTATCGGCGATACATCGCCAATTCTTGGTCGCTGTCCCCTCCCTGAGATAGTCCCCCTCTACTAACGCTCCCTGTCACTTGGGGGGGACGACCTGGGAGTCGGCGTAGATGCTGCCGAATATTGGTACGATCGAAATGTGTACGGAACGAATGGGGACGAATATTGACAACAGTTCTTGCCCATTTTGAACAGGGAAGGTTGTCGATGCCGCCGCGGGCGTTGCCTATGTAAGAAGAACGGCGCCTGCTCAGCAGAGGCCGTTGCCAGTGTTGGACAATATTTGTTATTGGGTGCACGCACCCATTTTGTCGTACTAACTTCGAGTGTCTCAAGAAGACGGGGACGCACCCGCGCCTCAGCGATGGAGCCCTCTGGTGCAGTCAGCGAGCGCGGTGGGGTACGGCGCATACTGAGGCTGCCGCGTGGGCGCGCAACAAGGTGCGTCCGCCTCCTTGGCCTGGGTCCGCGGTCCGCGGTGATGTCTCAGAGGGAGTCGGCAGTCGATCGTCTGTCGAAGGACGAACCGCAGGAGCCACCGCTCCCTTCCCTCCTTCCCCATCCCCCCTCCGAGGGTTTCAAGTCGAGCCGAGAAGGCCCGCAGGGGTCAGGTGCAAAGCGTTACCCGAGCGTACAGATTGGCCATGGCCTCATTCACACGTCTTAGCATCACTGTTAGAGACATCCTGACCAAGCAAGGGGAGGTAGCTCTCTCAGCGTACCCCCTCCAGGTGGAAATGGGTGGTGCGAAGCCCGAAGGAGACGGCATCCATCCCCACTGGGGGCGGGGAACGCAAGTCGTCCAGCGTGGCCAAGGTTTCCCCAGCGAGGTCGGATATGTTTGTTTTGTTGCGCAGATCCTAATTCTCCTTCCCCTCTTTGAGGACGAGAACTTCAAGCTCAAGCACAGGCGCCCTGGCCTCCTCTCCATGGCCAACGCCGGCAAGGACCGCTCGGGGCCCTGGGCGTTATGGTGCTCTGGAGATCCTCGCCCTCCTCTCGTCCTACGCGGAGTGTCGTGGTCACTCGGGAGCGGCTTGCGGTTTGGCTTGGTTTGGAGTTTTTTTTTGTTTGTCCAGGGGCCTTTAGTGGGCCCCAGGACCGCCAAACATCGATCAGGATGAAAGGCGGACCCCGTAACAGAGGTGGAGAGTAGTCTTGGGGGCCCACGTAATGAGACAGAAAGTCACGACGTCGGTGGTAAGGGCGGCTCGAATAATCTGTCACGATGGCTTCAGTCAGCGATCTACGTATAATCAATAATCGAAAACGCCTGCGGCGAACCACTGCCGCTGCCTGCCTTTGGAAGCGCCCACGTGGCCAAATGTTGGGTCAAAGTCTGGCCAAGCCATGCTTCCCCGATACCGTTGGGAAACATTTGGGCTCTTTGGCGGAGGGGAAAAGAGAGAGAGAGAGAGGAGGAGGAGGAGGAGGAGGAGGAGGAGGAGGAGGAGGAGGAGGAGGAGGAGGAAGAGTAAGAGGAAGAAGAGGAGGAGGTGGAGGAAAAGGAGGAGGGAGAGGAGGAGAAGGAGGAGGAGGAGGAGGAAGAGGAGGAGGAGGAGGAGGAGAGAAGGAGGAGGAGGAGGCCAGGCGGGAGGGGGAGTTCATTATTCGCGGTGGGCGCTGCGCGTTTTGCAACAAGCACGAGCTCACATCATCGGGGAGAGTGCGACAGTGGCAGGACACGAACGGGAGCCAGTTCTTCATCACCACCGTGACGACCCCCCACCTGGACGGTCCTCCTTCCCTCCCAGCTATCCCACCGGCTCGCTTTCCCGGCCGCCCTCTGCACACGCGTCCAGCATTGCATTCGTCCACATTTGCCCATCGATTCGATACACGAAATCATCTGGTCCTCCGCATGACTTTTGGAAGGCCGGCGCTGGAGTTCGGTTGGGGTGCAGGTCAGACAGTGTCAGGACGAGGATCCATTTGTTCCAGAGCGTTCCGGAACGCTCTCAGAGCGTTCCGCAGCGCTCCGAGAAGGCCTCGGCGCCCGAGACATTCTCCAGAGGCGACGGATTTGAGAGATTATCAATTTATCTTCGTCCTGGTTTCGTCTTAGCAGGGCCTGTCCAGCAGTTGCGTGCTTCGCCGAAAATTTCAAAGCTCACCGCGTTCGCGCTGGAGTGCACTTGTAAACCAGAGGAGCGGTGGAATAACTACAGCATTTAATCACTGTATCGAACATGTCAGAGCAGTGCTACGGCCATGCTGTAAGATACAAGCTTCGCGAGTCACATCTGTCGGAGGATGGAGGCGCGACACCACCACCAGGGCGGTCAGCTCCAGAGAGGAGGACTATGCCTCCCCGAGCGGGGGATCGGGGATGGCTCGAGCGAGAAGGGTGGGCCACCAACCACCAGCACCCTCCGCGGCTCCCCGCCCTGGCGGCGCTGTCGCCGTTCCTTGTATCTAGCTCGTGTTGTCCTACACGTCGTTGTTGCCGGCGGGCGGAGGGCGTCCTCGGGCGAGCCCGGGACGGGGATGCATCACTTCAGAGCGATACAGAACGTTCTCATAGCGATATCTCAGAGCTTTCCAGAGCTCCCTGGATTGGCCGCCGCGCCCGCTCAGGCAGCGAAAGACATCTGAGTCTTACCCTCGCCGATCAAAGGAACAGGCAATTCGATGGGCGGCGAGGGTAGGGTTTGGAATTCGTCGAACCCGTGGCGAAATCCGAACCCTACCCCCTTCTCACGTCGATTCAGGAGGATCGATGGTTGGTTGAGGTAGTGTTCGGATGTCGCCACCTCTGATACGTCCTTCAGAACCACCGGATCTCAGAGATCCCCTGTTCCAGTCCAAGATCCTAGCCCTTGGAGTGGTATGGCCTTCGACTTGTGCTCGCCTTTTCGACTCACGTAGCTTGCACCACGTAGCTTGCACGTCCAGAGTGCAAGAAGTCACTGTCTGGGACCCACGCTGCCAATCAGTCATTCAGTTAGACAGATGTTAGGTGTCAAGTGCGTCCAAGACGTCCCGGCAGGCCCTCAAGATCGCCCAACCACGGCCCAACAGGGTCCCATGCGTTCCCCTCTGAGGCCAAAAGTCAAGACGGCCCCCAGGGTGGCCCAAGAGGGCGCCAAGAAGGCTCTAAGACGGCCCCCGCTGAGCCCCCATCGAGGCCCAGGCAGCCCAAGAAGATTCCGAGACAGTTCAAGAAGGGCCCACCACGGCCCAAGAGATGCCCCCCATGGCAATGTTGGCTCAAGTTCAACTCACATGGGGTCCCTCCATTCAGACGGATCCAACTTTCACCTTTCGATTACTGAGCATATTTTTCCCGCGTTGCCTTACATTGCCAGTTTTCTTCTAGGGGCTGTATGAGGATTCAGTCCGAGAGCGCTCAGTTGCCATCGACGCGCAACGCGAATCGTAAGCACAGTATCGTCTAGGTCGCCGTGTGCGTCATTGGCGAGTTGTTCGTCCCGCATTTGACCGGACTCTCATGGATGCAGTTGTTGCACGTGGCATTCTTCATATTAAAGTCGGGCATCAGTTTCGTCGTCGGTTTTGTGACCGCACGGCGAAAGAACACACACCCACGCACGCATTGCAAGCAAGTTCCCGATGGAACAGATGCTCCACGGCAACCGCGGTGCCCGTGAGGACGAGTTTTGGGACACGCGCGCGGTCATGAGTAATGCCAAGGTTGTGACCACAATTTCCGCGGCCCCAGTCCACGGTGATGCCCGCCGAGCGAACCAGGGTCCTCAACCCAAGCCGCCCCAAAAGCCGCCGATGACTCCACGAACATGAGGCGCGGCTGTGCACTTGCACAGGTCCCCACAGAGAGCGAGGACATCACACAGGCACGACGGGAGGACGTGGTCCCCACTGCACATGTGTATTCGCTGTTGATGCTCGCGTGCGCCAGGAGCGACGATGCAGACACGGCGTTGTCGATGCTCGACACTTCCGTCGACAAGGACGTCGGCTTCGGCTACATTGAGAGGCGTACACATTCGGATACACGCGGCAGGTTCTTCACCCTCGGAACAGAGCAGCTCGATGATAAACGTCTGAGGAAGGGCGGGATGCATATTCTGGAGGTGTCTTGGGCTCATGGGGTTCTGCCGCCGCGCATTCTCCATAACCGCTTGGTATGTGCTTGGGGGAGCAACCTACCCGAGCAGGTCCTCATTCATTTCGCCCATGTGAGGGAGCACGGCATCACTCTGATCCCAACCGCTTGCCAGTGCACTAGTTATATTCAACAATGTAAACACAGCAGGGGAGGGTGAGAGGATGCACCGCTCCCCGATGGACTTCGCGGTCAGCCAGAGCGATGCGACCAACGATGTCGGACAGACGCCTGCAGCGGAAGAGCTAGGCGACCCACATACGTGCACCGAGCGCGCACCTCTTTGCAGGGAGGCATCGGCACTCGTCCCAGCACAGGTCGATGATCCGTGGTTGATGCCGTCTGACGCGTCGATGCTGCGCAGTTGGCGACCAGGCGTTCAAGTGCAGCATGACGCGTTTCCGTAGATGGCAGCGCAGCACGTGGGAGGCCAGCGCGATGACTGCAACTCGCTGATGCAGCGCAACTTGCGGCGCCCACTCTTTCGCGAAGACCTAATGCAGGGGATTGGCGCGAACAGATCCGCGGGATGCTACGACGCAGAGGACCGCGCCGTTTTTCTCCCCTTCATGGCGCGAGTTTGGGCGCGTCGGGTCGATTTTCTTCCGGGCGAGGCGAACTCGGTGCCGGGGCCGTGGCCCCAGGGCGAGGGGATGAGCGGTCGCTTGCCCTGTGCTCAAGCAGTTTGAACCTGTTTCATCGAATTCTGCTGCCCCAGGCTTTCGACAGCGAGAGCTGAGGTTGGGGGCTCCAGGCTGCCGGGAGGTAGCCGCGCGGCGGGTTGTGTTCTTTCGAGCGGCCGTCGGCGCAACTCGCAGTGGTGGCGTTCGTCCCAGCCTGGGCGCCGCAGGCTCCGTGGGCGCGGGCCTCTGCGGGCCCCTCCGCCTGCCCTCGTAGCCCTGTGTGGACGGGGCGCCGACGTTCGTTCTGGAGGCCCCGGCCTTCTGTCGGCACCTGAGGTGGTTTCGCCGCTCCAACCCGCCACCCGCGCCCGCGCGCCCGGCGAGGCGCCCCCCTGCCGCCGGCGCGAATCCCGTCTTATGGGCGGGGCCAACGCGCTGGCAACATCCATATTCCTGTTCGTGCGGCTGCGCTTGCGCAGCTCTTTTCCACTGCGAGCCGTTCGACGGGGCTGGTCAAGTCGCATGGTTCGACGCGGCTACTTAGCCAGTTTGCGCAACGAGTGATCATGCGCAACGAGGTTCCCGAGAGGTTCAGGCCTCTTCTTTCTGGAAGGACAGAGCGAGTTCTTTTCTCGGAGATTACGGCGGGGGGGGGGCAGCGCGCAATGCGACTTCGCGTCCGACGATGTATAGTTTTCAGGGCGCGAGTTATTCTCACGCTCTGGAGCAATCGCGCGGGTCCACGCTCGATGCCGGCAGGGGTCAACGCAGGCAACGTAATCGACGGAACCCATGTCAGAACGTGTCAGGGCGATGGAAATCGAAGCTTCGGGCGCGGAAAAGTTCGTCGTCTGGGTCTGCCAGGGAGGGCGACATCAAGGATTGAATGTCAGCTCTGACACAGAGCAGACAGGCACGTGGCTAACTGTTGTTGTTTTGTTTCGCTTTCTGAGATTCGATGAGCGGTGGGGGACTGTCCGCTCTGCTCGCCCAGACTACGTGCGATCTCCACCGCGCCCTCAGCGTGCGACGCGTTCCATGATTCAAAGCCATCGGGGCGAAATCGGGCCACTTCCACGTCGCATCACCCAGCCCGTGGATATGCGCGATTTTCACACGTAGTGATACACCCCCACAATTGGAGAGTTATGTGTCCCCCCGAAGGGATGCGTGGGACGGCTGAAGGGCGATGGCGGGCGGGAGGAGGCGAGCCCCCCCCCTCCCTCCTCTTTCGGGGCTTCCGGGCTTCCGCCGCCCATCCACTTGATGCCCCCCTCTGTCCTACTCGCTGCGCGCGCAGGGGGCGCTGCCGCCTTGCGCGCGCGTGCAATTGGGTCGCCTTCGGGTGAGCTCCTCACGCATGGGGCCACGAAGCGCGCGAGGGGCGTTCCGATCTGGTTGGCGCGCGGACGGCAGGGGCGGGTGCGGGGGGGGGGGGGGGGGGGCGGGGGCGCTGTCTCTTCAAAAACGAAGACCCAACACCACAGGATGGTCAGGAAAAGCACGGGCCGTTTTTCGGCATGCGCGGGTTCTGGGGAACCCCGCCGGGCCTCGACTTGGGACCGCGGCGCCCCCGACGATCTGCTTCTTGGAGGGCGCGGCGGCCCGCGGGAGTGGCAGCCCTTCTTGCGCCCGCGGGAGAAGCCGCATGCTGTGGCGGGACCTGCCGCAGGCAGCTGGATCATATGAGGTGCGATACTGCGCGTTGCCTTGCACGAACAAGCTTGCTGTTAACAGCGGCGTCGCGCGGGCTCAAATGGTTTTTGTTTAGCAGAAAGTGGCAGCGCCAGGTCGCCCGCGGGGAATGCCCAGTCATGGTTGTTGGGTACACACGCGGGCTGTGGGCGTTGAAGGCCGAACGATGACCAAATGTGGGTTGGCGGTGCGGCATCGCGGATGCAGACTCGCCCAGACCAGCAACGCCATGGCATTGTAGGACGACCGTTTTGGGATGGCCTTGTGGGTTCCCGGGGCCATCCAAAAAAACGCCCGTCACCCCCCCCCCCCCCCGGGCCATTCAAAAACGCCCGCGCCCCCCCCTTCCCCCCCCCCGCGGGGCCATAAACCAGACCCCCACGACTCAACCGAAACCTCTGCGACAACTTGCGCAACAAACGCACGCCCGCAGAGCGTTTCTCAGAGTGCTTCGGATTCCATGGCCGCTTCTGCTCCGAGGCACCGAGCGCTGCGAATTCGTCGAGCCAGCGGAGATTGCTCGCCTCGCTGACACGCGCGCCCGTCGCGCGCCGTCGTATCACAACGACGCGGAGGACGGTGCCGCGAAAGGCCCCCTTCTCCGGATCGCTGCGATGCGATGGTGCGCGACAGGGAAGCTTGCGTCAGCGAGGCGGACAATCTCCGCAGACTCCGCGAATTCGCGGACCAGCCCACGCAGCTGCATGCTGGACAAGCTGCATACGGGAGGAGCTGTATGCGGGGGAAGTAGCATGCGGGATCGCAGAAGCTGTATGCAGGAGAAGCTGTATGATCTGGAAGATCGTAGGCGTGGCGGGAGAAGCTGCATGCGCTATTTTGCGCGCGCATGCGCGCCTCGTTACTGCCGTGCCCTTGCGTCGCTGGCGTGGCGTTCGCGCGTTATCCGCGCTGCTGCGGGCGCGATCAAATACTGGATTGTGTTGTGTCGCGTGGCGTGGCGTGTTTTGTTCGTGTCGCCACCGCCAGTGCAAACGTCCCGTTCCCGGCTTCTGCGTGCTTGTTTTTTTTCCGCTTGGAGCCAGCAGCGGCGCCGTGGGTTCGTGGCGAGTTCCACGCTTGCCTGCGCAAGAACGGGATTCGCGCAGATGGCACCGGGCTGCTGACTAAAAGGGGAGAAAGACCTTCGAACGGACAAACGTTGGATGAATGTGTTCTGCATGATGGTCAGATCTGACTGAATGATTATTCCAGGTGGACGTGACTACCGTCCTGCGTCTTGCGGGAAGTTCTCTGGTTTGGTCAGTCGTAGAACATTTTGCACGACTAGGCCATGCAATTGTTTCAATGAGTTTTGGTTGAGGCTATTGCTTCGGCGTTGTAGATCTTTGCATGAGCCAGTTGCAGTGCTATGGCCTGCCTTCAACAAGAATTCAAAGATCCCCCAAAAGGTCCAGTATCACATCCCGAAAAGCTTAAAGCAGCCCCGTCATGGCCCCGAATGCGTTCTGGGGTCAAACTACGTCGGCTGTTGTCACCCGTTCACATTAGTCCCGCTTCCTGGCCCTCCGCCGTGCTCGGTTTGCGCCAGTCCGCGCCAGATTTCCAGGAAATCGTGGGAACGGCGGGGGCCGGCGTCATCCAGGAAGGCATGCAGTGGCTTTCGGCTCACCTGGCCACCGTGCGAAGGTGCACCGGGGGCTCCCCAGGAATAATTCCAGCGACAATGGCCACATGCGCCTCCCCCCGTTTTTTTTTATAGCACCCCATCACGCGCTTCGTAGCCTCATAGCGGGCTCCACCGAATGTCCCACTGGCAGTGTCCACGTGAGTCTCCCCCCGCCCATGTCGGCACGCCCCTCGCGCGTTTCGTGGCACCATAGAGAACTCCGCCGAAGGCCCCAGCGGCAGTGTTCACATGCGCCCCCCCGAGATGCTCGCACGCACGCATACACGCGCGCGCGCACGCACGCGCGCGCTCGCGAACGCACGGGCGCACGCACGCACATACTGACGCACGCACGCACGAACGCACACCCACACCCACACACGCACACACATACACACACTCGCTCTCTCATGCCCACACGCGCGCACAAGCACACACACTCGCTGTCTCACGCGCGCACAAGCACGCACACGCACACAAACGCACACACACACACACACACACACACTCTCTCTCTCTCTCTCTCTCTTTCTCTCACACGCACACACACTCCCACACGCGCACGCACATACTTTCACACACGCACACACACTCTCACACACATTCTCTCACACATACACTTCCACACGCACGCTCCCACATGCACACACACACATTCACTCGCTCACCCACTCACTCACACACGCGCGCACCCTTCACACGCTTCGTGGCCCCAGAGGGAGGTCCGCCGAAGAACCCGGCAACAGTGCTTACATGGGCCCCCCCGCCCATTTCGGCGCAGTCTTCACACTTTTCATGGCCCCATTGGGAGGTCGATTGAAGGCCTCAGTGGCAGTGTTCAAATGCGCCCCCGAAGCCCTTGTTGGCACACCCCTCACATTTCGTGGCCCATAGGGGGTTTCGCCGAAGGCCTCGGCAGTTCTCACATGCGCCCCCCTCAGGCCGATTTCGGCACACCCGTCACGCTTCGTGGCACCATAGGGGTCCCCACCGAAGGTCTCAGCGGCAGTGCTTCCATGCGCCCCTCCCCCCCCGCCCATGTCGGCACACCCGTCGCACCTTTCGTTGCCCCGTGGGGGATCCCACCGAGGGGCCCCAAATACAGTGGTTACATGCGTCTCCCCCGCCTAGTGTCGCACACCCCTCGCACGCTTCGTTGCCCCATTGCGAGCCCAACAGGCGAGGCCCCAGCGGCAGCGCGCCCATGCGTAACCCCACCCGTTTCGGCACTCCCTTCGCACGCTTCGTGGCCTCATAGGGAACTCCACCGACGGCGACGCTCACAATTGCGTTGGCCATGAATTCATATGGTTGGGCCTTTCGTCCGGATATGTTCTGCGCTGCCACCGTTTGTTCATGTTCATGTTCAGTCGTTTACCACCACATATAGTGTGCGTTCACCACCCATCTTGTCGCTCTCGCCTTTCCTCCTCCCCCAGCGCCGGATCGATTGGGGGCGCGGTGCCGATTGCGCCTCTGCGTTCAGTGGTGTGCGATTTATCATATGGCGCATATATGTCAGCCGGTGGCGTGCTCACTGCCAACATTTTCGCGCTCCTCCCCCCCAGCAAGACATTGCACGGGGGGGGGTCGTTGCTTGCGCTTCAGAATTCAGTGGCGTGATAATTGTCCAAAATGGCTTCTCACTACATCTCGTGCAGTTTTACCACAGTTCTAACATTCGGCGACGAACCCAGGGGGGACGTGAGAGGGGGCAGGCCTTCTCAGAAGGCGCGAGGGCTTCTCAGAAGCCCCGCTGCCTTTTGAGAAGGCCTGCCCCCTTCTGCCCTCCCCCTGGCCTCGCTGGATTTCCGGAGCTTCGCCATGTGATATGAGAGGGTTTGGCTACTTACAGCAGCGCGGGCCCAATGAGCCAGCAGCCGTTGCTGCGGGCGCGTCGTAAGTTGCTTCTCTTCGAGCGTTGATGCTGCGCTATGTTCGATGTCCCCTGCGCTCCTTGCGATGACAATTACAATCCGTCAGGGCAAAATGTCCTTGCTCACAGAAAGACATTCCCAAGATGGCCCACTAGGCTACTACGGACTTAAGAAAACAATGATACCAGATAAAAATCCCAATCATAAATCTTGTTAAGGATATAGGGTTATGGGGCTAAAGGGCTATAGGGCGATAGGGCTATAAGGCTATAGGGCTATCGGGCTAGAGGGCTAGAGAGCTAGAGGGCTATAGGGCAATAGGGATATATGGCCATAGGGTTATAAAGGATATAAAGCTATGGAGCTATTAGGGCTATAGGGTTATAAAGCTATTGGGGCTACAGGGCTATAGAGCTATAGGGCTAAAAGGCTATAAGACTCAAGGGTTATGAGTCTATAGGGCTACTGGGCGGGCACCAGGGCACCCCCGGGCACCCAGGCACCAGGGCGTGCAGCGAAAATCGGCGGCAAACTTAACCTGACCATATGAATCCGCTAGGACCCCTACAGAGGCAAGCTCTGATTGGGGAATTATCCTGGCGAAGGGCCCAACAATATGCCGTTGTGACTATCGCAGTTGTGTGACTCGCCTTCGGTAGACCTCCCCATGAGATGTCGAAGCGTGTAAAGGGTATGCCGAAATCGGGCGAAGTCGCATGCGGGCGCAGCCATTGGGGCCTTCGGTGATGCTCTCCATATGGGGCCACGAAACGTGTGAGGTGTGCGCACAAATGGAGCGGGGCCGCCATGCGAACGTCGCCATTGGGACCTTCGGTGGAGCTCCATATGGGGCCACGAGACTCGTGATGGGTATGCCGAGATTGGCGGGGGGCGCATGCGAACGTCGTCACTGGGACCTTCGGTGGAGCTCCCTATGGGGCCACGAAGCTCGTGAGGGGTATGCCGAAATGGGCGGGGGACGCAAGCGAGCATCGCCACTGGGGCCTTCGGTTGAGCTCCGTATGGGGCCACGAAACGCGTGATTACCTCCACTGGGGCCTTCGGTGGAGCTCCCTATGGGGCCGCGACAGGCCGTACTGAATGGCGCGGGGCCCATGTGATCACAGCCATTAGGGCCTCTGGTGGAGCTCCCTATGGGGCCACCAAGGGCCGTACTGAGTAGTGCGGGGCGCATGTGATCACAGCCACTGGGGCCTTCGGTGGAGCTCCCTATGGGTCCGCGAAAAGCCATACTGAGTGACGCGGGGCCCATGTGATCATCGCGACAGGGGCCTTCAGTGGAGCTCCCTGTGGGGCCACGAAGCGCCGTACTGGGTGGCGCCTGACGCATGTGATCACAGTCACTGGGGCCTTCGGTGAAGCTCCCTATGGGGCCACGGAAGGCCTTACTCAGTGGTGCTCGGGGCGCATGTGATCTTAGCCATTGGGGCCTTCGGTGGAGCCCCCTATGGGGCACGAAGCGCGGTTTTGGGTAGCGCCTGACGCATGTGATCACAGCCATTGGGGCCTGCGGTGGAGCCACCCATGGGGCCACGAAGCGCCGTACTGAGTGGCGCGGGGCCCATGTGATCACAGCCATTGAGGCCTTCAGTGGAGCTCCCTGTGGGGCCACGAAGCGCCGTACTGGGTGGTGCCTGACGCATGTGATCACAACCACTGAGGCCTTAGTTAGAGCTCCCTATGTGGCCACGAAGCGCCGCACTGAGTGGCGCGGATCGCATGTGATCACAACCGCTGGGGCTTTCGGTGGAGCTCCCTATGGGGCCACGAAGCGCCGTACTGGGTAGCGCCTGACGCGTGTGATCACAGCCACGGGGGCCTTCGGTGGAGCACCCTATGGGGCCACGAACGGCCGTGCTGAGTGGTGCGTGACGCATGTGATCATAGCCACTGGGGCCTGCGGTGGAGCCACCCATGGGGCCATGAAGCGCCGTATTTGGTGGCGCGTGACGCATGTGATTACAGCCACTGGGGCCTTCGGTGCCTATGGGGCCACGGAGCGCCGTACTGGGTAGCGCCTGTTGCGTGTGATCACAACCGTTGGGGCCTCTGGTGGAGCTCCCTATTGGGCCACCAACGGCCGTACTGAGTAGCGCGGGGCGCATATGATCTTAGCCACTGGGGCATTCGGTGGAGCTCCCTAACGGGCCACGAAGTGCCGTACTGGGTGGCGCTTGACGCATGGTGGAGCTTCCTATGGGGCCACGAAGCGCCGTACTGGGTAGCACGTGGCGCATGTGATCACATCCACTGGGGCCGCATGTGATCACAGCTACTGGGGCCTTCGGTGGAGCTCCCTATGGGGCCACGAAAGGCCGTGCTGAGTGGCGCTTGACGCATGTGATTAAAGCCATCACCCTCTGGGGCCACGAAGCACCGTACTGGGCGGATGTGATCACAGCCGCTGGGACCTTCGGTGGAGCTCCCGATGGGGACACGAAGCGCCGTGCTGAGTGGCGCGCTGCGCATGTGATCACAGCCATTTGGGCCTTCGGTGGGGCTTCATATGGGGCCACGAAAGGCCTTGCTGAGTGGCGCGGGCCGCATGTGATCACAGCCACTGGAGCCTTCGGTGGAGCTCCCTACGGGGCCACGGAAGGCCGTACAAGGTGGCACTTGACGCATGTGATCACAGCCGTTGGGGCTTTCGGTTTGGTTGCGCGGGGCGCATGTGATCACAGCCACTGGGGCCTTCGGTGGAGTTCCCTATGGGGCCACGAAGCGCTGCGCTGGGTGCGGTGAAATGGTGGACATGCGGAGGGCAGCTGCAAGGGTGGGAGGAGGGGCAGGAGGAAGGAGGAGACGCTGGGCGCTGTCTCTTCAAAACGAGGACCCAACACCACAGGATGGTCGGGAACACTGGCCGAGCGCGTTCTCCACAAAACAGGGTTCTTCTCACAGACAGGGGGCGGCGATGTCTTAAGCATGCGTTTTCGTTGCGTTCCCTCCTGCCCATCATTCTTCTCATCCTCACCCTTCCCCCATTATTCCTCCTTTCCCTCCCTCCGCATTCTCTTTTTCACTCACACTGCCCTGCACCCTCATTCTCCTTCTCCTGCTTCTCGCGCGGAAAAAAAAAACGGCGGAGGGACAGCGCGGGTGGCGGAAGCCAGTGGAAGTAGAATATGCCCGTTTCCAGCAGAGTCGGTAGTTCAGAGATGGGGTCCTAATGATGTGAGGGGATCCAGGGGTGGATTTACATTATGTGAGGCGCCTCGTCCTTAGGACCCCATCCCTCCCCCAGTATCCCAGGATAGGATTCCCCAAGACTGTGCAGGAGGGCACACCTAGAGTCCGAATGAAGCCCCAAGACGGTCCAAGCCGGTCCTCATGTGTCAGCTAACGGCTACAACGACGTTGTTTCGAATGCATTGGGCGGCAGTGGCTCGCCGCTTGCGCCTTAGATATTCATCCTCTAGATCCTCACAAGTTTTCTCCTCCTGACCCTTGCCTCATCCTTTCCACTTCTCACTCATCATAACATATCATCATTCCTGTTTCTGCGTTCTCATGTTCCCTCTTCCGCATCGCCTTCTCCTTCAAACAAGGTCACACGAGTGCGCCCATGTGCCCGCATATCTTTAAGATGGGTCCACGCCCTGAGGCATCCATATGTCGTGTGGTGAAGTATGTGACCTCAGCGTTTTTATTCGCTGAGGTAGCTCCGCGGAGTTTCTGGGAGAGGCCCAACAGCGTGAATCACGATTTCAACGTATCTGTGTATGCGCGAGTGTTGTAAATCCCAGCCTCACCGCCGTGAATTCAGGGATATTGATTGAGATCAGAGGTGCACGTCCCACGATTCTTTGCAGTGAAGTAGTATGCTCGTCATGTCCCCCTGTTGCGTCGCCGAAGCTGCGACAATTGGTGACCCCCGCCCCCCCCGCCCCCACCAACCCAAACTTAACAACATAACAGATCAACGCCGCTACAACGCGAATCTGGCATACTATCACACATGGTGCGCATGCCCCGGCCCTGTGACCGGAATGCTGGCCTCGCTTTACGAACGTGTGTGTCCCCATGAGTTGTTTCATAACCCGTCGCTTGAATAAGGCAAGCACGTCGTCTTCGGCACCATTGTCTCTGGCATGAAGGCACTGTGTTACGCATTGCATTTTGTGTGCGGCGGAGAAATTCGAAAGGGCAGGCGATACTTGTATGCAGGCGTGTTAACGTATATAGAGGAGAGGGTATAGGTTCAAGCATGCGGCCTAGGCTTTCAGAAGTTGCACAAGTATTGTGGGGATGGGTGTGATCTGTAGGCCATGTGAGCCCCAGACAAGAATGGGGTGTGACGCATGGGGGTACCAAGCGTGGGGGAGAGCGCGGTTTCAGCTTGCCTTGTAGAGTGTTGGGGTAGAAGGGAGCATGGAGGGTGTCAAGGAATGCGGCGACGTGCAGGGAAAGAGAGAGAGAGAACGACAGAACGAGAGAGAGAAAGAGTGAGGCAGCGACACTGAGTGGCAGCAAGGATGAGACGGCAATTAGGGATAACGCAGGAGTGCGTCGCATGGTTGTTGTTGCGAAACAGTGGATGGCAATAGTAGGACAATGTGTGGGAAAAAGAGGGAGACATTGTGAGAGAGAGAGGCAGTGAACGCGTTGCCAACCATCGGTTGGGAGATAGTGTTGTGGGCAGGTAAATACACAGCTCGGGTTTTATGAGCACACAGGGGCAGATATACGTGTGTGTATATATTTCTTTCATATAAAGAGAGGGAG